GGGTGGGGTCTGGAGAACTGGTCGCAGTGGGGGATAGGGTGGGTGTGGGCTCTTGGGAATTGAGCCTTGTATGGAGGGGCAAGAGGGGGCCCTGCAGTAGTGCATAGGGTCAGGGATTGGGGCAGGGCACCCCAGGCTATAGGGAGATGGAGGGGACTTTGCAATACACCTCTGCCTGAATATAACGCTGTCCTCGGGAGCCAAAAAATCTTACCGCGTTATAGGTGAAACTGCGTTATATTAAACTTGCTTTGATCCACCGGAGTGCGCAGCCCCACCCCTCCGGAGCACTGCTTTACCGCGTTATATCCAAATTTGTGTTATATCGGGTCGCGTTATATCGAGGTAGCGGTGTACTAGATGCCCCAAGGTGTGGAAATATGTGGTGAGGGGCCACAGCATCATGTGCACTACGCTGTGGCATAAACCAAAGCACTGAGAGCCACCAAGTGTAAGGAGCCTTCAGGAATGGTGTGGCCCAGCCCATTGGCAACCTGCAGGAGCTACTGCCATGTGTAGAGGGAAATTCACAGCAATGGCAGTGTTAAATGTGGAGGTAAACGTACAGCGTAGTGAGTGTGTTGGGTATAGGGAAACCTGGAGAAGTAGCAGTAAACATGGGTGCACAAGCACTAAGTGAAGAAAAGCAGTAGGAGCAACAATGAGATACGGAACTGCAGGAAGAGCAGCAGTATGTGTCCTGGGTGCAAGGAAACTATGGAGGTAGCAGTATTCAGGGTTCCACGTAGAGGAAATATGCATGGGAAGAACTGACTGCAGGAACAGCAGCACTAAGGGCAAGAGGTGCTGAAAACCTGCAGGAGCTGCAGCACTGACTATCTGCTGTCAGATATCTGCCTGAGAAGATAAGAGGGTACTGGATGTGGAGGAAGTTGCAGGAACAGAAGAACTGAATGGTGTAGATCAGCAAAAGCAGCAGCACCCCTACCAAGCATTGGGGATGCACAAAACCTGTTGGAATAGGCACAGCTCTGAGCCCCCGGTCTCCAGGAAGGCTGCAGAGGTAGCAAGGCTGAGTATCCTGTATGCAGGAAATCTGAGGAGGCAGATGTTCCCACAGTCTAGGTGTATGATGCCTTCAAGGACAGAAAAACCTGTACCAAGTAGACAAGGCACATTACAAGTCTGGTAGCAATGAATGTTTGAATTCAGGAAATCCGTAGGGGTATTAGCAATGAGATCCTTGGTGTTGGACACGCTGTGGGCAGCTGAGCTCTTGGTATAGGAATCCGGCAGGGACAAAAAATACAGACCCTCTAGAAACCTGCATTAGCAACAAGCCAGAGGCCAGGTGTCAAAAATGTGTAAGAGCAGAAGCACCAAGCAGCCTCAGTGCTACAAACTTGCAAGAGCAGCTGTCTAGAATCCAGGAGAAGCTCAAGGTTTGGGGAGCAGAATAAAGCCAGGTGCAGGTAAAGCTGCAGGAACAGCAGCACCAAAAGGCAGGAGACCTGTAGAAGTAGGAGCAGCAGCAAGTATGCCAGCTACCTGCACTGTTAGATGGTGTCAAGTCTAACTATTTAGATAAATTTAAAATATGGTACAGAAGAGATCACACAGTAGGACAAGCCTGAAGTCATATGAATCCACATCCATACTTTCTACTGCACACAGTCATGAAAAGTACACTTATTTTAAGCTTTTACTTTTCTTTAAAGGTTGCTGTTGGGAGAAGGTTCTGGCATCAGCCCTGGGCTGCTCTCGGCAGGTGGCGCCGGCTTCAGCCCTGGAGCTTGGGGCACCGGGTTTCAGCCACGGGGCTACACGCCCCCCCCTGAAAGGGCTCACGGTCCCCTGGTTGAGAACCTATGATGTAGGCCACAGAATTTCACCCAGCAATTCCTGCACCACGTCCATAACTTCTGGTTGAGCTAGAACATAACTTGACTTAACCTGAAGGAGACAATGCATCCCAACTTTATACTGAAATGTGGTAGCATTCAATAACTAGAGTTTTTGTGGGGAGGTGGGTGGGAGAGAGATATTAAAAAGAAATGTATTTCAAATAGTTTGAAATACACTCATTGATATCACAGAATCTTGGATCTGCAAAATAATTTGTTCTCTTGATAAAACATTTTATTCTTAATGTATCACTTGATATCATCCTTGCCAAAATTCATTTATTTTAATGTTATTAAATATTCATTACAATAGCACCTAAAGTGCCCGTGCCACAGCTGAGCTCGCATGGTGCTCATAAAGACTTGGGCACTAAGGAGTTTACAATCTAAATACACAAAAGATGAAGGATTGGGGAAGGTAAAGCAACAAATACACAATTGGGATCAAAGTGATGCAGAAGTTACAGTTTTAGTTTTCCCACCAATGTGCATATTCCTCATGCAAACTATGATTACCAATGTCCTCCATACTCTTATTTTCTTAACCACTGCCCCCAAACCCATTCCCCTGGATAGCACAGAGATAGAAATCCCAGTCATTAAATAAAAAAAATAAATCCTCAAACTAGTGAAAAGTTACAGAAAAAAACAGCCATCAAAATATTATCCTGCGTTGAGTGAGGTATCCCAACTTTCTCGCAGCCACTGGGAAGACTGGGGACATGCCATATGATGTTTCTACTACAGTCTAGACAGCTTTTGTAATTGGTATTAACTTTCCTTGCTGTGTTCCTTTGTTATTCAGGATTTGCCTTAAGGAGCAAAGGTGAAAAACACCCCTGGACCCCTGGCTCGAGCCCTGCCACCGCCTTACCCCCCCCCCCCCCCACCCAACCCCCCCAACCCTCAAGAAGCTCCCCCCCCCCCCACCCCCCCCCCCCTCCCCCCGCAGGCCCTGGCATTTTTGTAGCATGTTGAGGGAGGCCTCAGCAAGAAAAAGATTGAGAACCCCTGGCCTAGGCTATGCAGAAGTCAGACTAGGCAATCATAATGGTCTCTTCTGGCTTTAAAAATCTATGAATAATTTCTTCAGTATATTTTTAATATTAATTTCTGTGACTACCACTGTACAGGACTTTGGGTTGCATTGTGGGCCATATCTTCAAAAATGTGCAAGTTGGGATTTTAGCATGTAAATACCCCAAATATGGATATTTGTACACCTGAACAGTGTGTGGATTTGTCTGCCCTGCTCTGACAGTCAAACATCTCTAGAGACCACGAGCAAGTGATGTTCCCGTTCTGCTCCAAATAAACGTCCCAGTCTAGCAAAACACTTTCAGTGCAGTCTTACCTTTAAGCTTGTGCTTAAGTATTTTTGTGGATGGGGCTAAAATCTGCACATGCTGTGCAACGTCATACTTACCCATAAAGCCAAATCCTATGAAGTGGATCATTCAAATAACTGCAGAACATGTTTTCTCCCTAAGCTAGGCTGTCCTACAGGATCTCACTGTCTGCTGTAAGGCTTATGCCCTTCTCCCATATTCTGGTAGTTTAACAAGCTGCATCTGCAAAATGAAGTCAGCAGGTGTTATCAGCTTTGTGCCGTTTTTAAACTGTTAACAGAGTGCCTCAGTAGATGAGCTCTTCTCTTTGCAGGGGCATAGATCTTGCCATCTGGTTATATTGTGATGCATTGCTAAGGACAAAATATCACTGAAGTTAAGCCAAAATTTGAGGGTTTGTATTATGCTGGCTCTTTGCACACAGGTTTATTTAAACCTTTTGGAAATTGCATTGTATTGTGTAATAGATCTGTAAAAACAAAGGAAGGAATTAATAAAGTATGACTACTTTGCAAGCAGTCATTTTCCATTTTGTTCAAATACAACAAGTAGTAGTTGTGGTTGACTTGCTTGCTGAACAAAATGAAAGACTAGATGTTCTAAAAATAGGGTTATAGAAACCAAGAAAAACTGTACACTTATGAAATTGCTTTTTTTCCTTCAAAGACAATTCACTTCATAACTATTCATTTTTACCTATCAAAATTTTTGAATCTCCTTAAAGGAAGGTGTAAAGAACCTCAATACTGGAAACTTGACTTTAAAATACATTTCAGGATTACAGGCCTTTAGCAGAGTGAGCACAACACTTTTTCCTAGGATGCATCAATGGGAACCTGCTTTTCAAAAGTGTATTTGGCAGTTAATAGTGTAATTTGAGGAAGGATTATCTTATAGTTAAAGCACTGGATTGAGAGTCAGCAGGTTCTGTTCTTGGCTGTCACCTAACATTTCCTCTGTGACCCTGAGCAAGATACTTAGGACCAGATTTTCAAATGTCTACTGACTACAGGTACCTCTGTTTTGGGGGCACTTTTTCAGAGGTGCTCAGCACCTGCAAATATAGAAGTGAGATCTGCGGGTGGTGCAGTTCCTCTGAAAGTGAGGCTAGAGCAGCGGTTCTCAAACTGTGGGTTGAGACCCCCAAAGTGGGTCGTGACCCTGTTTTAATGGGGTCCACCAGGGCTGGCTTAGACTTGCTGGGGCCCAGGGCCAAAGCCCAAGCTCGAAGGCTTCAGCCCTGGGCGGCAGGGCTCGTGTTACAGCCCCCCTGCCTGGGGCTGAATCCCCCAGGGTGGCAGGGCTT